TACATTATAATTTTATATTGTTGCAATCATTTATGTCAAGTTTTGTTAAAATTGAACAAATAATTATGAAATAATTTAATAATTTAAAATTAAATATGTTTTTAGTCTTGAAGAGAAAACATATCAAACCACAACTCAATTGTTATTATGAAATACGTTTGAAACATTAAATAAACTTAACAAATTTTGGTTAAAATGATTAATTTCATCTCTTTCTAAAGTTAAAGAATTAAGTTGGATGAAAGTTTTGAAAAGAAAATAATTCTAATTTTAACTAAAGTTAATAGATAAAAAAATATTTAACCAAATAATTTATGTTTTAATATATTTCAAAAAATATATGCTAGTTTAATTTTAATACCTATAATTAATAGAGACATAACATAATTTCATATTAATATAAATATTTTGAATATAAAATACGTATGAAATGAATTTTTAATTTAATATAAGTATTGTAAAAACATGATGTAATAGAAAATTATTGAATGTTATTATATATATAGTTAAAAGACATTTGTTGGTTATTATACTTAAAAATAAAAAAGAGCAATTGATGATAATAAAAAAAGAAGAAAAATAAAACATACTGTGAAAATGAGATTGTAGCCATGTTTGAGAACATCCAAGAGAAACTGAGTCCTCTTCCACATCATCTTGAGGAAATCGTGAGACATGTAAACTTTCTCACCTTCGAAATCAACACCATCTGTTTCCAATTTGATGCAGTTCATCTTCAGAAATTGACATCTTTCATAGGCAATTTGATCAACAGCAACTAAGAGAATGTGATGAATGAGAGATCTTGTTCCCTCTCCAAGCCAAAAACTGTTGAGAAATAGATCAAGCATTGTGTTGTCACTCTCCACATCTTGCTCAGCATAAGCCCTATTCACTACGGCAATTATCACTGTTTTGTTTCCCATAGCAGATTTTGCTAAAGCACACTCAAGGGCATCTCCACACGCTTCACTCTTTGAATTGTTCTACAATGTTTGCACAAACTTCAGCTAATCAAACTTCTCAAACACTTCACTTTATAATGTAAGATTATAAGATGATCACTCGTTTTCATGACATTTTGATGTTCAGATTTATGCATACTAGATTAAGAACTAACTAATTGATGTTGAAAATCTTAAGTCCACATGATAAAATGAATATAAATCTCATTTTATAAGTCAGTTTTATAAAGTTGAATTAGGCTTTTAGTTTTTAAAATAGTATTATAGTTATCCGAAATTTATCCTAGTACGTGTCACCCACTATTTGACTGTTATTGAATCATTAATTAATGTCTAATTTTACACTCGATATATATGTGTGTGTTTGTGTGTCTGTGTGTGTGTCTGTCCGTGTGTTTGTATGTGTGTGTCTGTGTGTTTTTGTGTGTGTATATGTCTGTGTGAGTGAATGTATTGAAAATTTCACACCAACTAAAGACAAAAACAAATTTATAATATATAAGTGAATAATCATCTTATAAATTAATTTTTTAAAGTTGAATTAAATTTAAAACTTATTTATTGAAGATAATTTTATATATATATATATATATATATATATATATATA